ACTCTTATTAGATGTGTATTTTTGTTTATTTCGTCTGTGCCCGTTGTCATATTTTCTATCTTAGTAATTCTCTGTGCTGAATTTTGGAAATTTTCATCAATTCTGCACTATAACCTGTCTGCTGAAATTTTTTCTGATTTTTTAAGTTTAATTTTTTTTGTTTTTACTATTTCTAAAAGCTCTTATTTTTTTTAGAGAATATTTCTGGCCTTTAAAATATTTACTTTGTTTTGTTCTGTCCTCATGTGTTTGAAACATTCTTTTAATTTTTTAGGCATTTTAAAAATGCTTTCTTTATAGTTCACCAGATAGTTTTTGACTTGAACTTCTTTGTGGTCTAATTCAGTTATTTATTTCTCTGGCTGATTCTCACTTTTAGTGTGGATTGTTTTCTTATGTGTTTTGTAAATTTATGTGAAAATTTGACCTCTTCAAGACTTTGTTTATGGAAATCCTATGTACCTGTGCTGAAAATATGTGCATTCAAAGCAATTTTTTATTGTTTTTACCAGGTGCCCCAGGGATATCTGCCTGTAACAAAATTTATTATAAATGCTTGACCTATGTTTTAAGACCAAGCTAGTAGTATAAATTCAAACCTAAACCTAAAAATGTTCTCGCCCATGTTTAAAAATTATTTTTTCCTCCCAAAATCCAGGAATAGGTAAATATGCTTCTTTGTCATCTCCCACTGCTAATGAATGATTTCTTTCTAGACCACTGTTTCACTAATACTGTTGTCATTTTGAGGGTCCTAGATATGTGAAGGTATCACATTTCAAACATCCTGTCTCATGCAGTTTCAAGGCCTCATTTGCTATCTTTGCATGGATGTCAAAATCTAAGTTCTTAGATACCAAGACCAATACTGCCTTTTGCACCTCTATATTTTTCTGGCATCTGTGGATGTCTTTTTATTTACTAGGAGTTCTTCATGTAAAGAATGTTCTTAAATATTCCTGTAGTTTTTAGGAATTTGCAGAAGGTTATCCAGAACAGTATTCTCCAACCATTTTTATATTCAGGCACACAGAGAAAATAATATTTATGCACGTAGGGAAGATGATATCTATGCAGAATGTTGGAGTACCTGGGGAATATTTGAAGGATGACCATATGAAGCTTAGTGAAAAAAATAACACATAATTTAAAAGTAGAACAAAAAATATACAGAGGATATCAAATGCTAAGTTTGTTTTTTAATCTTCAGTTTTTTAATTGAAACACTTGAGTTTTTTGTCTGTGAACATTACATTTTTATGTGAGGTTTTGATTTCTGAAGTGAATTACATGCAATTCCTGATCAATTTCAATGATGATCTCTTCAAATTCTTAATAGTCAGCCATTAATGTGAAACTGTTCACACAATAAAGTGATGAAATCTTTTAAAATGTTCAATATTTAATCCATATGAAATTATATTTAAGGCATATAACAGTTCTCCTTTCACTTATAAGTGCAATGTTGAAATTTCTTGTGAAAATCCAATGACTTTAAAATCTAATCAATCTTCTTGTTAAATGATTTAAGAGAAAGAAATATTTTAAAATAATGGTGACCCTTTAATTTGCAGAATGTGCAAACCTATTTAGAATAGTCCTTGGGATTAGCTTGAACATAATTAAGTGGGAAGTTTACTAATGATTGGACAAAAGTATTGGATATATGGGAAGACAGAGAATCAAGGCCACTGTCTGGGACTGAATGCAGACTCCTCACTACACCATCAGCAACATTGGTCCACTCCTTTGCCTACATCTGAAAGGGAGCTCATACTCCTCCATAGCATAATGCCCCTTAGTCAGGATGGGCACAGCTCCAGGCCTTGCACGTGGCTACCTCGAGAGCCTGTGCTGCAGGTCACCATTGCAAAGCTCTGATCGAGAGTACCATATTACTGAAACAGATTGGATTAAAAATTTTTAATATAAAAAGAGACAGAAAGAAATAACGGTTGGAATGAAGAAAGGAAGGGAGATATGAAATTGTAATAAATAAAAGATCTGGTTTCATTGAAGATAAGGGAGGAAAGCTCAATAAATATTGAATACCTAATCTTGGCTAGGTGCAGTATGCCAGGTGATTACTTATGTAATTTCACAGATCCTTACAACAGCTTTGTGAGGATTGTATTATCATCTCAATTCCAGATTGATTGTTTAAATCAATAACCAAAAACAATAATCATCTTGCCTGAGCTCACAGAACTAGTAGGGAACTGAATTTTAGTCTCAGATGTATGTCTGAAAAGTCCAAGATCTTATTTTCTTGAGTCAATGGGCATGGTAAAATTCTAGGTCTGCTGCTTACTAGTTATGTACTTTTCACTTACTTAATCTCAATACCACTTGCTTCATCCATTAGTAAGAGATAATAAATAGCCCCTGTCTCAAAAAGTTTATTATTCTAAAACAAATGAGATAATGCATGAGATATTAGATTGGGATGAGGCCCAAGCATCAATAATTTTTAAAAGCTATCTGGGTGATTCTAATATACAACCAGGTAATTTGAATGCACAAAACACTGAAATAATGAATGTTTAACTTAGAATATGATGCATAGAAAGTCTCAGAAGTTGTTAGTTATTATTATGGTTGTTGATGTTAAAGTTACTTCATGGATGCAGTTTCTTCTGATGTATTTTGAGTAAATAGCTAACAATTAATCATAAAATATGGAAAGCCAAGATTTCCTGTACTGCTTACTTCCAAATATCTTTGGTTCTCATAACCATATGCTGCATTGCTAAACAGGCTAAATAAACATTAAAAAAATGCACAGGGTGGGGAATAGTAAAAGATGGTGTTCTTTTTGCATGTGGTGTCATGAGAAAGTATGATCTTTATTGTCAGAACACCTAAGATTTAAGTCCTAGCTCTATCAGTTAGTAGTTCTGGGATTTGGTGGTCAGGGGGCAAGCCAGTTAGTTTTTATTACCTTCAGTTTCCTCTTGTCTAAAATTGGGCTAAAATAAACAACTTTTGCTTATGAATGGAGAAGCTAAATAATATAGATCATTTTAAACACCTGGGAAAATTTCTGGCACATAGTAGGATATTAAAGATCAATAAATAGTCCATTTTTTCATTTCTTCATTCCAGATTCACATATGTACATTATTTCCATGTTAGATTTTCCCCTGCATTTAGCATTAATCTAGATCTTGAAAGCACAGTGTGGCTGCCAGGTTCACTGGAAATGGATCTGACACCTGGAATCCCAGAAGAAAAAAGGGGGATTAAGCCCTGTGAGGTTCAAAGGCCATTTGTTCCCTTGATATTGATTTTCTTAAATCAGACAGTAGCCAAGACCCTGGGAGAAATAATTGAACTGACAACAGGCAGGTCCAGGTTATTAATAATGGAAGAGCTTTGGACATTCTTGATGACTTAATTTAGTGACAGAAGGGAGGTCTGAAACTGAAATGCCTGGAGATGGGGTCAGTGGCTAGGTCTCTGAGGAGAAAGGAAAACATGCATTATTCCTAAGAGCTTATTTTATATAAGAAAACATTTTATGGTAGTCCAAACATGAGGCCAGAGGAAACGGTTTTGATTTTCTCTTTTTAAAGAAAAACAAAATTTTAAAGGCTTGAAAAATTGCCACTATATTTATGTTTACTTTTGCCCTCATTTTGGAAAACAGACTTGCTTAAACTTAGGGAATTTTGGAACCTTAGTGAGTATCTCAAGGGTAGAAATCTCGGTGGTCTTACTTAACTTTTTTATCCCTTGGATCCAATATCAATTCTCCTATTAATTAACATGACTTTGCACAAGTTAGTTAACATCTCTGAGCCTTAATTTCCGCATCTATAAAGTGGAGATGTTAATATTTTTATTACAATTATAAGGGAATATTTTTAAAAATTTAAAAAGTATATAAAATTTCTGGCACTTTTACATTAATATCTCTCACACAGTAAATATTTGTTTATATGAGCTAATAAATCAATTTTGATGCTTCTTTCCTCTTGCACTTCCTCTGGATAGAAAAGCTAGCCTATGGTAACCTCTTGAAAGCTTTTAATTTTCTCTTGACAGTAGTCAAGAATATAGGCTGCCTTTTCCCTGGTTCTCATCCTCTCTTCTTTGGACTATTTCAGTGGTCATTTAATGTCTTTTAACTCCAGTTCTCTTTTCTTTCTCCATCTCTCCTCCCTACTTGTGACAAAGTTGTTTATTAAAACAAAGGCCTGATCTTTTTTAACTGTACTACCCCTCTGGAAGTGTTTTAGTCATTGAAAACACCCCACTCCCCAGTTTTACATCCCAGAGAGGGAAAGGAATTACCCAATTGTCTGTGCTCCTGTAAATTGATGCTGAGATCAGGGTTGAGCCCAGTATCCTTGGCCCCTAGCAGAGGATAACAAATGGGGAGCAGACATATATCCTCTAGTTTTAGTCAAAAGAGTGCTGAGCAGTTGCAGAATTTTTAAATTTCAATTTTGAACTCAGTTATTTTCTTTAGTTTTGTTGAACTTCAAATGCACTATTGTCACTCTAATGATAATATTCATTTCCATGAAAATTCTAGGTCAGCCTAGAGAGAGGGCGCAATTATTTTTTTCACAATTATTAATATTAATTAAAACTTATATAGCATTCACTATGCACCAAGCATGGTTTCAAATACTATACATGCATTAATTTATTTAATTCTCATCAGCAACCCTACATACCATCATTATCCCCACTTTTCAGATAAGGAAACTGAGGCACAGAAAAGTTTAGTAGCTTGGCAAGGTCACACAGTTTAAGAATGGTTGAGTGAGATTAAAACGCAGGCTTCCAGATTCCAGAGTGTGTTCTTAACCACTATGTTGAGATAGCAGAAACACACTGAATTTCTGTGGGCACCATTTATCCTCTTTGTGTTAGCAGCTAATCCATATGGCTCCCTTTAACCCTGCTTATTATTTCCAGTCCTAATAATCAGGAAATGGCAACTTCAGTAGCATAGTCTTCTGATAAACTTTTCCCTCTTTCTTTTTCAGAGAGTCATTTTCAACATTGTTAACTTCAGCAAAACCAAAAGTCTTTATAGAGATGGGATGGCCCCTATGGTGAAATCTACTAGCAGACCAAAATGGTAAGTGACCCACATAATGGGGGCTCTTTCTGGTTGTAGATTTTGACCCAAGTTTCTCTGCTGTATGGCTAGGGCTTAGCCTCACTGGCACTAAGAAGAGTTAGATGAGTCTGGACGGCTGTTGTCTGGGTTCTAGGTACTGTTCTTTGAGAATGTTGGAATAGGGGGCATAGTCCCATGTTTGGAGTCACTAGCATTCTGTTATGAGGGAAGGTACAGTTTGTTATTTGATAAACTTTCTGTCCTGTTTGCCTTTTATCATGATATCTTTAAGCATGATTAAAGTTGATTCTGGTCTCTTTTTTTCTAGCCTGAGCATATATATTGTACAATAATGTAGGAGGACATTGAGAACTACAATTTAGTAGATTTCCCTTGCTTTGCTTGTTTGTTGTGGTGTCTTTGTATAGATGTTATGTGGTTATTTTGGATGTTAAAGTTCTATTTGTCCCATTGCTATGGTGACAAGGATGAGGAGAGTTGGATATGATTAATAATAGTAACAATGATAATTAATAATAGTAATGATGATAATGATGATGATGATGATAATGACAATGATAATTTTAATAATAACTACTCTCACTTACAGAGAAAGCCGATTCTTTGTCAGGTGTTTTACAGTTGCTGTCACTAGTCTCACAACATATTGCAAGGGAGATTTTAAATATTCCTATGTTACAGATAAAGAAATTGAGCCTAGGAGAGGTTAAGTACCTTCTCATGACCATATAGTAAACGGAGAAGCTTGTGTTATTTTTACTAACCCACACTGACATTCAAAGCAATTAACTTATTCATCTATCCATTCATTTACTCATTCAGTAAACACTGACTGAATGTATCAAAATGGATGTAACAGAGTTTTTAAAAACAGAAACCAGTGTTACTCATCTATCACACAGTAGGTGTTAAATGAATGCTTATTGAACCGAACTGAATTCATGATGAGAATTTACATGTAAAGTGCCTGGCACTTGCTAAGTGCTCAGTAAATGTCATCTATTATTAATAGTACTATGTAGAACACAATACAAATGCAAGGGATTGTTAATATTATTCTAACTTTGATTCCTATTCAAATTTTAATAACTAGTGAGAAGATCATCTCAAAATGTCTATATTTATAGATAGCTAGCAATTCATAAATATTGAATTGTGCATTTATCTACAACTGATACTTGGCAATTTTCTATAAATGCTGGGCTGAGAAGCTCAGGTTTGTAAAAGTGTAGGCATTTGATGATGATAATCAAAACTGTTTACTGAAAGATAAAAATATCTTCCTGGGCTTTTTTTTTTTTTTTTTTTACTTTTGCATCAAGTTAACCATACTGCTGTTCCTCAATTTCCTTTTGACAATGGGAGCTGAGCAAGGAGTAGGCCTTTGCTTTGAAAAGTCTCTGAATTCAGCCTGAATGGATAATAACAGAGCATTTCTCTGTGTAACAGACATATGTGTAGATGCGTACTTCAAATCTTGCCGACAAAGGACATCACTGTTCATTTGCTCACAAGGGCCTTAAAATAACATTGTACTTCCTTTACTGGGCTCTATGTTGGGGATCTTATGTTGCAACAATAATCACCATTTCATTTCCCCAAGTGTTCACTTCTGGAGTCTTCTCTTTGTGTGTGCTTTTGAAAATCCTTAAACCTTAGTTATTTCATTTTGTTGGTTTTGTTTTTTCATGAACTATCATTTGTGTTCTCTCTGTCAGGACTCTTGACAAGATTTTGAAATATTAATATATTATAATGCCTTTGAATTAAGTTAGTGTTCTTATCCAATGTTGGTAGGCTCTCAGCAGTGTCCATTATCCAGATTGGGCTTCTCTGATGGTCTGAAAGAGTTTAAAGTTTCAGAACCAAGTTTGTTGCAGTTGAAGCCAGTAAGGCACAAGGTACCAGACTAAATCAAGTTGTTGATATGTCTAATCTCTCCTCTTTTTCACTTTACTATCCTCAGACCTTGGATGAAATGCTTTTCACCTTCTTTCACACTCCCCTTTCCTCAAGCCAGACATTTGGCTATTTCTTTACTTATTAGGACTTTATTGAGCTTCTTAATGTACCATGCTCTATTCTAGATACTGAGGATGAAGTATGAATATGACAGAAATGATCTGTTCCCAAAGGCAACTTTCAATTTGGAATTTTATTAACTGATCTCTACAGGTCATAATTGTTACTGTCCTTTCTACTGGTTTGTTCTGAAGATTCTTTCTGACCCTTTGGTGCTTTCTACCTAAGACTTTCTTCCACTCCGTGTGTGAATTATCGGTACTAGAACCTATCTTCCAGTAAGCATTATCCTAAATGTTCCCAGGGTAACATAAAGAAGTGCATGTGACTGTTTGACTCTTACATTATTAGGTTTTACTGGTCTTATGGAATTCCACAACTTAGGATTCTAAACAATGTCCCGACTCAAGGCTGACAAATGCTGTACAGATCTCAATATTAGACTATCTGCTCTAGTGTCTCCCTAATTTTAGTTTCCCCAATACCAGGGCAACCACCACAACAAAAGGAGAAGTAGCTGATCCTTTTCTTGTCTAGGGACTTTACCTCCTTTAATATTACAAATAGGCCTTGGAAATACTCTTACCTCGTGACAAACATTAAAAACTCTAAATTTCCTGGATGGAATGTATGCCTAATTGGGAAAAAAAAAAAACTTTCTTCCCGTTTTCAAGGTGAAATAAACATTCTTCTTCACCTGTCACAGCGAGCTGTAACTGATTCCAAACAAAGATGCCTTCAGGCCTTAGCATAGGTCTGGTAATGAATTAGTTATAGAAAGCAAATGAGCAAAAAAAAAAAAGCAACTAAAAAGCCATTATGCAAATAAATATATGGCCACTCAAGGCTGCTGTGCCTTGAGGAGATGGAGTGAGCATACCTAGCAGCAAAATTGAGAAGCTGGAAGATTCAGGAGTATTCTGCCTATTTTAGTTCACTCTAATTCTGTTTACATATTAGACTTCTAAGGATTGTTGGTTGTTAGGACTCTGTACCATCAAGGTTTTGCCACCAAAACTCATTAATTTTTTTTAATATTGTCAACGGCTGAAATTGCTATGTGCTAGACACCACTAGAAAACTGGTATTACGAAACAGCAGATAATATGTACTCTTGCCTATGCAGAAACTAAGCCTAGGGTATTTACACAGCTAGTAAGTGGTGGCATTAGCCAGAGACCTCAGGAGTCCACCTTTACTGGTTCTCCCATATCCCATGCATGGGAAGAGGGGAGAAAAGGGCATGCAGCTGTGTGGCCTTTGTAGATATGAAATAACTTCTCTGACTGACTTCTCCATCATAGTAGATTGAGGGGATTGAACTAAATCTTACAGGTAGCTTTCATTTAACACATTTTTATTGCACATCTAACTTTGTGCTAGGTACTGGGGTGATAAATATGAATCTGACTTGGATTATATCTTTAAAATTTTGTTTTTTAGAGGTTTAAATGAAACACAAACATAAGTAAGTACAATGTAGGGAGCACTGTACTAGAAACTATTAGGGTGGTATGTGAAGTGTGCCATGGATTAGAGATGAAGAAGAAAACAATACTATTAGGACTGTGGGGAGGAAGGGAGAACCTTTGGAGGCAGGCGGTATTTCAGTTAGACCTTGAGGGAATGGGACAAGAACAAAATTAAGGAAATGGATTCCAAATAGAAAATATAACATGATGAGCCATGATACCTCTTATATGAGCTGAGCCTCATTGTAAAAAGTGCATAATAATACCGTCTCATAGAGTTATTATGAGAAATACATGTAAAATGGATGTGTAAATACTTTTTAAAGTCTCGAGGATCTTATTAATTCAATAAATTTATTGACACTTTTCTATTCCTCTGACTCACCCAAGACTGACTGGAGGAACATTATTCCTTCCTTCTGTTCCTTCCTTCCTTCCTTTCTTCTTTTCTTCTTTCCTTCAGCATGTCATTAAATGCTTAGTGAGTAGTTACAGTGGACCACGAATTATGTTAAGGTATTAGAATTAAACAAGAGAGATATGATTACTGTTCTCATAAAGCTCACTCACAGTCTACTGGGCTAGATGCTAAATATGTAATTTTAGATAATATGGTAACTATTGCAACAGGGGGAATTCATCATGCTATGGAAACTATTCAGCATGCTATATAGCATTTAAGATTTAGTCTTCATCAAGGATAAGAGACCTTCCTTAGTCATATTATTTATGCTGAAAGATGAATAAAAGTTAGATTATAGTGAATGGGAATATGCGTGAAGTAATAGAATGTGTTTGAAGACCAGATGTTGAAAGAGAACATTACATCGTTGATGAGCAAAAGCCAATGTGATTGGAGAATGGAATTATAAGGAGAAAGACTGGAGAGGTAGGAATGAGTGAAATTGAGGTGAGCCTTGTAAACCAAGGTAAAGAGTTAGATTTAATTCTGAGGGCAATATAAAGAAATTGAAAGTATTAACCTGGAGCAGGACATGATTGGTATTTTAGAAAGATTAGTCTTGTTGCTGAATAGAGAATATCTTGGAGAGGAAGACAATTGTTTATAGAGTCTTTGCAATACCTTGACTTGATGGTGGATTACAGTGGTAACAGTACTGATGAAAGCAAGTGGATGGATTTGAGGGTTAACAGAAGATTAAATAAACTTGACTTTGTAACTGACAAAATGTGGAGGGTAAAAGAGATGGGGGAATCCTACATGACTCCCGGGTTTTCTGGAATGGGCAACAGAAGGGTTGTGGTGGAATTTCCTGAAGATAGGGACGATATGACAAGAGATAATTTTGTCAGATTTGTTTTGATAGGGAAGATGATGAGCTTGTTCTTGGAATTATTCAGCCAGAGGTGCCTGGGAGACATCCAAGCAGAGATGTCAAGTAGGCAATAGGGTATCCTGACAAGAAACTCAGGAGATGAATATGGAGGTGTAGATTCAATAGTTAGCAGTCTACAGTTGATAATTAGACCAGTGGGAACAGA